AGCAAGATCTCTAACATTTCATAAGTTAACTTTCACAGCATTTACTTAGTAGTTTAGTGATCATATGCTTTACAACAGGCAATGTACATAAAAAAAAGGAAACCAACAAAAGGAAGCTTGTACTCCATGGTTCTTTGTTTTTTGTTTTTTAAAGTATCACTATGCAAAGTAATGTTACTTTGTAAACTTCTTGCCACTAAGAACAGCTTAAAACTTCCACATCTAGGGACTGAAAACTGATCTTAAGAATACAAACAAGACTGAAATAGATCATTAGGTCACAGTCTGAAATGCAGAATGTCTTTTTTGAGCATCTTGTTTAGAAGATGTGAGAGATGCCTGCACCATTAAAAATTATAGTTAGAGCAACAGCCCAAACTTACATGACACCTGAGCAACTTCAGCCAATGCAAAACAATGGCAGTATGAAGATTCACAGTAAGCTGACTGCAGGTGTTCTCCAGCCTCTCCTCCGTAGCTCCTGCTTCTTACTTCATCTGAAGTAGAATACTGCTTCAGGCTAAGTAAAGTAAAACAACAGCTGCAGAACTAAATGGCTATTCTCTCTGCAAATGAGCAGCTGTGGTAGAAAAATCAGCCCTCTGGCACTCCAGAGGAGTGTGATAGTTCTTGTGCTCTACTAAAAGGCATAAACAAATACTGTAAAGGAATTCTAGTAAGAAGTTGGGGAAAGCTCACTAAGGAACAAATCCTGAAGGAGTCACAGAAGGACTCAGAGAGAAAGAAATACTTCAAAAGAAAGCTGTAATGATGTAATTATCTGCATTTGGAGTAATTATGGTTACACATAACCGTTCCAAGCAAGAATAGCCATGGACTGCCTCCAGAAATTTCAGTCAGATATAAAATGAGAAGCAAAGCCATGAGAAACATCAGGAAGTCCTAACAAAAAAAAAAAAAAAAAAAAAAAAGGTAGCTCTGGTAAAGTTTTAAGTGCCATAAAGAGAACATGGATAACCTATTGCTACTGCAGAACACCACAGTGTTTTAAGAACCCAGGAGTTAACACACTGCACCACTCAGTATTCAAAGGCAGGTGATCACTGAAAGCACTGATTTTCACAGCTTTACTACAGATTTCCAGTGAGGTACAGAGAAAAAGCAGCGATTATTGTCCTCCTTCAGTGCTACAAGATCCCCACTGCTGACTGTCACCTGAGAGCAGAAGCATAAAGCAAGACTTGAGCTGGACTTTGTTGCTGTTCTAGTCTGCAAGCAAAGCCGAAACAGCTGAGTGAAGGACTTGGGAAATAAGTTCCCAACAAATTTAATTCAACTTACTTTCACTCACGTAGTTTCTCAGTAACATCTACATAACAGAGGGCAGTGTCAGTTTACTGTCTTCCTCAAAAAACTGAGTTTCTTCACAATAAGAAAAGATTTTTATTTAATAAAAACAAAGTAAAGGAAGCTACACTCTGGCATAACTATTGAGAGATTTCCTGTTAAGAAAGGATAATTACAGTATCATAACTTCCTTCCAACCCATCCATCCACATTCTCCTTTAAAGAGCACTATTATCTACAAGCAGACAGGGCGACTACACCACACATACTCAAAAACCCAGCCCTAACCATATTTCACATCAAAGCTGTTTCATTTTGCTTTTTTAATGCACTCACAAACTTGCACAGGTACACAAACATTTCTCTGTGCCACTGGGGACTCTAGTTGCTATTACATGCATTATCTCGTGGCTTTCACAGAATCACAGAAACACCAAGGTTGGAAAAGGCCTACAAGATCACCCAGTCCAACCATCCACCTGTCACCAATAGTTCTCACTAAGCCATGTCCCTCAACACAACGTTCAAACAGCCCTCAAACACCTCCTTGGGCAGCCCATTCCAGTGCCTTTCTTAACACTAACTGCCCACCACAAATATATACATACACAGCTCCCCCCTACTCCAACCTTAGAACCATAAAAATTAAAGCAAAATTCAGCAACAAGGTTTCCAGCACCATTTACACTCAATTTTGTTCTCATCTCTGTACAGCACTGAATACAGCAGACAATAACTAGCCATGAAAGGAAGGGCTGTATGAAATCTTGCATACAAATGAAACCCACAAGCTAGTTGTGAGATATCAGAGTGGTGTGAAAACTAGGACGAAGTCCTAGTTAAACTAGGTTTTCCATAAAATAAAGTTAATGAACTATACTTCGGGAGGTTTCAAGACTACTGAGCCTGATTACTATGGAACAAGTAATCCGTAGTTACAAATGCAGCACCTGGATGGCAAAACAGAATTCTTATCCCAGTTACAAGATGGAACCTCCAGAACAGCATCATATCCAGAGTGAGAGCACTGGATCACAAGATGATTGATGTTACCTATCATAGGCCAAGTCCAATTGTCAATCCAAAATCTCTTTCTCCCTCTAACTGAAAAAAAAAAAGCAACTAATCTGTAACTGGAAAGGACCAATACGGTCCAAGAATGACTTTTTACACTCTAGCTATTAAGACTGCAGTCACTGAGGGAACATAGAAATACAGTAAGGGAAGCCCTTCAGTTCTGGAACTCCATAGGAAATCAAGAACAAGATAAATTAGAGTTGGAATGCTCACACATACAGGCATTTGTTTTACATTTTTCCCAGTTATACGGGTTAGTGCAAGGCTGGGCTACTTCAATGTGCTCACGACAGCTCAAGCTTAAACAAGAAAGTTTCAGAAATAGGACAGCCACAGAATTAGAAGTCTGCATAAGTAACGCATATACCACATCAAGAAGAATATGCAACAACCACAGAGAACACTACAAAAGTAAGGCTTAACTCCAGGAGAGTCTCAGAAAACGTAACTCATTAACTTGTCTAAAGTCTGGAGACGGGCTTCAGCAAATCCAGCTTTGAAAGTTTAAGATATTTTTAAATATTCTAGAGGGATGCTGCTCATGGGAGACTGGTATACTGCTGTTCACAGTGAGAGGTCAGCATTTCGGATTTATTTAGCAGTTAAAAGAATTAAACTATTTTTTAAAAAAGTATGTGCAAATGACCCAGAGGTGGGGCTTGAATAACAGCTTCTGAAAAAAAAAAAAAAAAAAAAAAAAAAAAAAAAAAAAAAAGCATTTATTTTTAACCATGCAACCATAAACAGTATGAACAAAGAAGACTTCCAAAATATGGAACTGTGTCATTTCCTGATGGCAGGACCAGAGATTCCCAAGAAACTTATTAGAGGCAGCACACAAAACTTGATCTTCTCAGGATCTATTTTTACTGTTTGGAAAAGTAGTGATAGTAGTAAAGCTAATGGAAAATAAGTTCACATCGCTCTGAAAAAAACGAATCATCCAAGAAGGAAGCAGGAACTGGGAAGTTCTCAATCCAGAGCAGACAGGAAATAAGGAAGCAGTCCTCTCATCCAGCAATCACCAGACACTGCTTTCCAATGTGTTCTAAGTATAACAAGCACCCCTCCAGAACAGTATGCTATAGGTCTTGATTAGGACATCCCCCTGCAAACATTTTCAGAACACCGCCTTTGAATAAACACACACAACTCTGAAGAGCAGTTGATGGGTCAGTTGGATGGTCCTGGAACTATGTTTTTTCTACTGCTCCAAGATAAACTTAAAGGTTTTACCATAAAGCCTCTCTTTCTGTTGTGAGAAATCCAGTACCATCATGGCTTCATACGTCAGCCATACGACAAGGTGCTTTCTCTACCTGAGAATGAAGTTATCTACAGCCCACAGATCTCCCCAGCTGACCCAAAACAAAATACAACAAACAAAGAACAGAAGAACCCAATTACATACAGTCATTTATAACACAGTCTTGAAGCAAAAGATGAAATGGATGAGAGAATAGCAACAAGAAACAGAGGCAGCTTTTCCATGGCTACTCTATAAAATGGTCCATATCTCTCTCAGGTACTCATAAACCAGGAGTTTCTTTATGCTTCAAGTCAGATACGTTTTGATGGAAAAAAGTAGTAACTACAGTATACTATTACTATCATCTGGTCTTGTCATTTAGACATAGTGAGGAGTCAAAGCAGAAATTCAAGATACACAAAGACTCAGCCTTCTCACATACGTGGGTGGGAGGAAGGGACAAAGCACTTACACAGAAGGCACATCCACAGGTTTCTCTCTAGTATCTTTCTTTACAGACGGAGGAGGACAGGTCTACAATAAATGGATGTGATACACTCAAGTACCCAACTGAAGTGCATCCTTCGCCCTATGACCTCACAGCTTAATGGAACATGCACTAATATGAACTTCTGAGCTCACTGTAATCAACTGGGTGGCACAGAATTCAGAGAAAACCTTTTAAGACTTCCCACTTTGGATTTAGTTTTAATAGAAGCTGTATGGGACGCTGAACTCAGGTGCTGAAGATCTAAAGAAGCCCTCTTAGGCCCATCTCCCCCTGCTAGGGAGACTAGAAAGGATGAGAGATTAATCCCTTGAGCACTCATTTCACACAGAAGACTATATGGAGCAAAACGATGGGAAAGTATTGGTTGTTTTTTTTTTTTTTTTTTTTCCCCAGTAGACTACCTGGGAGAGAAATAAGAGAAGTGACCAACTTGGAGACAGGCTCCAATTCTACAGAATGCAAGAATGGTGCTCTAGCAAGAGACCAACCAGACCAATAAGCGAGGAAATAACATCCCATTCCTCTGCTCAATGCCCTCGGTCCTCCGAGGAAGAGGAACGGGGCAAGCGCCGTCCTTCAGAAGCTTACACTGCTCAGAGCCCTATGCATAAAGAAGAAACCCACGGGAAGGCCTCTCCTGCAGGGCACACGCACGGCGAGCAGCCTCTCCCAAGCTCTCCGTCGCCACGTCCCCGCTCCCACCCACCCCCACCCCCCAACCACACCGTCCTATGCCGAAGCGCACGGAGCTCCGCCGCTCCACGTCCCCGCGAGGCCGGAGGGAGAACAGGCGGCCCCGCAGCCCGGCTCGGAGCGCAAGCAGAGCCCTGGCGCCGTCACCCCTCGTGTACTCACAGTCCAGGTGTTTCTTCTTGGGCCCCATGACCTCGTGCGTCGTGGCCTTGCAGACGGTTTTGGAGACCGCCGAGCCGGTCACGCTGTGCTGAGCCGCCGTGATGCGGTCGGTGAGGCTCTGGCCGGACATGGCGGTGCTGGAAGGGAGCGCGGCGCCGCTCCTTCCTCGGGGGCCGGGACGGGAGGACTGCGCCGGGGGATGGAGCTGAACGGATTCCTCGCCCCGCCGCGCCGCAGGCGGCCCCCGCTCCGCCCTCAGGGACGGACCTGTCACCCGAGCAGGGACCCCTCCTCCTCCTCCCACCCCCCTCCCCCAACCGCCGACCCCTCCCCCTGCGCCTTCCGCTCGGCCGGGGACAGGGGACACACGCTGGGCGCCGCAGGAAAATGGCGGCAGCGCGGCTCCTCCTCGGAGCTTTCCGGCCGCCCCGCATCACGTGATCCCGGCGCCACGCCCACGTGACACGCCCCGCGCGCCCTCCCCTCCCTCCCTTCTTTCCCCTCCCGCCCTTCCCTACAGCGGACGAGCTCCGGTGCGGAGCTCCTCGGGCGCAAGAAGGGGTGGGGTCACGTGGTGCCTGGCTGCCCTCAGCGCTAGTGCGGCGGGCGGGGGCCGCTGAGGGGCCGCTGAGGGGCCGTTGAGGGCTGCCTGCCTTCAGCCGAGAGGGTCCGCGTAGCTGGAGGAAAGCGGGGACGGCCCCCGGCTCTGTGTCATATCACTGGGGAAACAGAGGTTGGGTCGGCGTGGGTACCCGCTCTGTGGTCAGCAGGGTGACGCTTGAAAGGGTTGTAAAATAAAACCTCGGGAGTTGTGAGGAAATTTTTGTGTTCCTCGGCTTGGAAAGTGCCTTGGAAATTCCTTGTGTGGTACCTTGGCCAATGGAGACGTGAAGGAGAGCTCTTCCTGAAGGCTGGGAGCTGAGTGGTTGCTGCATTCGTCCTCCTCGGTCTTATTTGAAAGCTCTCAAATTTACATCATAAATATATAAATCAATAAACTACGGTGTGTTTTTCAAGTCTTTCCCGATCAGCCTTCCTCCGTTTTACCCCTCAGCTAATGCTTCTCAGGGCTCTCGGATTTACCCAGCGGCTCTGCCCTTGACTTATGGGATTTTGTGTAAAGTTGCTTCACGTTCCATAAAAGTTAGTCAAGCGTTCCTTCAGGAACCTCCCAGGACCTGGCAGCCTGGGTGACCCTGAGGAGAACGACAGGCACTGAGGAGCAGCAACCAGAGTTCGGTTCTGGTGCAATCACAGCCACCCCGAGCACCCTTTACTTCTTCCAACAGGGCACTCCTCTCTTCCCAGCTCCTACAGCAGCGAATAACACAGCAAAACCACAACATTCCATCAGGCAAATATCCTTCCTCTCCCAGAAGTGCCTCCTGATGATTCTTCTTGGAAATGTCCCTGATCCGTGAAGCCACTGAAGGATTTATTAGGCAATTTAAACAGAAGCGGTATACAAACGACGGTCGGCTTGGTCTGCCTGACAGGATATCTAAGTAGGATTATCTCTTCATAATGCTCGCTGAAAATTGGTGTCAGGTGAAGGATAACTGGTGAAAGCTGAACCCAAATAATGTAATTGCTGTGTCTGTGGAAGGAGTGCTTGCACATGTAGAACTTGCTTCCTTCATAATGCCACATTTGTATTTGTTGGCTCCTCCTGACCTGCTCTTCGAGTTCCAAATACCCACACCAGTGGACTCTGAGATAGGACAGCTTTAGCATAAAACTTCGCATCACAAAAACACTAAGACTGCTGTGGGCTGTTGATACAGCAGCATCACTGTGAATACACCACCTTATTGTACTGTTTCTAAATTATATTGTAAACCGGAGATTTAAATTTACAGAATCACAGAATGGCCAGGGTTGGAAGGGACCTCAAGGATCATGAATCTCCAACCTCCCTGCCACACGCAGGGCCACCAACCTCCACATTTAATACCAGACCAGGTTGCCAAGGGCCCCATCCAACCTTGAACACCTCCAGGGACGGGGCATCACAACCTCTCTAGGCAGCCTGTTCCAGCACCTCACCACTCTCTCTGTAAAGAATTTCCCCCTGACATCCAACCTAAATCTTCCTTCCCTCAACTTAAAACCATTTCCCCTCGTCCTTCAGTTATGAACCCTTTCAAAGAGTTGACTCCCCTCCTGTTTGTAGGCTCCCTTTAGGTACTGAAAGGCTGCCATGAGGTCACCCTGCAGCCTTCTTTTCTCCAGGCTGAACAAGCCCAGCTCCCTCAGCCTGTCTTTGTAGGGGAGCTGCTCCAGCTCCTTGATCATCTTTGTGGCTCTCCTCTGGACCCTCTCCAACAGCTCTCTGTCTTTCTTGTACTGGGAGCTCCAGACCTGGGCACAGCACTCCGGATGGGGCCTCACAAGAGCAGAGCAGAGAGGGACAATCACCTCCCTGTCCCTGCTGGCCACCCTTCTTCTGATGGAGCCCAGGATACCATTTGCTTTCCAAGCTGAATTTATTTTGATGCTGCTGGTATTTTTTTATTCCAACTTCTTCTAGGACCAGGATTTCAACACCCTTCTTCAAGAAGTCTTGCTTGCTATTTGGAAAAGGTCCATGGAATTGGCCTGTGTAATTTAAGCTCCATTGGTTCTTCTCTGATTATGCCCATTGCTTTCTCCAAGAACAGTGGAACTATCCAAAGAGAGAAAGCTTTTGACTGTACAAGTTACTGAGACCAGATTTGTACAAAACGTCTCATTCCTAAGGGGACAAAAAGTGACCTTGGTTTTAAAGGTTCGAAAACCCAAAATAAGCTAAACTTCTCTATCTCCCTTTGTAAACACAGAAATCTTAGAGTTTAACCCCACTCCGTTAAAAATTTTACTCATTATTTTTGTTCTTAAGTAGAAACAAGAGAGAAGTTGTTGGGAGGGCTTATTTTTGTAATTGTTTGTTGCTTTTGAATTACTTGGGAGACATTTGGTACCTTTACAGTGAGGACCTTGAAGCACTGTGTTAGATAATATCTGAGCACCTCCCAAAGATGTGGAAATTGAAGTCAAAATATTAATCTCTTTTCCTTTCCAACCTGAAGAAAACAAGTTTGATTAGTTTATATCTCATTTGTTTTTGTTTTTTGTCTGGGCGTGCTTGAGAAAGAAAGAAACTAATCCAAAGATATGAGTCCTATATTTAGTCAAGTGGCAAACCTAAACAACATTCTTTTCTCTTGTGAAGAGTTGTTCCAGACTATGGATTCAGCTCCTGAAAAATGCTGCATCTTGCATTCTCAAGCTCCTGAAAGTGTCAGCGGTCACTGGCATCCAGCTATGCTGAAAGGACAGGCCAGCTGACAGGGCTGATTCTCCCTACGTGTACTCTGCAATTCTGAAAATCTTGCCTCAGCGTGACCTCTGTAATTTATTATGTATATTGCTTTCTTGCAACAGTGCAGTTTCTACTCTGTGTTATGCCTTCTACTCCGTAATGTCTGCAGTCCAACTGTGTGCTTTAATGCTCATAGTACTGCTGGCATCCATGCCTTCCTCCACACTTCATGCTCTTGCAAATGTTCAGCAAACTATTAGGAAAGCTGTGGTTTGGAGTCATTGTTTACAGGGCATAGCTTCAGGTTTAAAGGAGGTGTTTTGGCTGAATTTCAGATCACTTAGAAATCAACCCTTTTGAGGTACAGAACTGGAAAGGCACAGAGTTGTGCACATGCTTTTAGGGTGTAGCAGGCTCATTGCTAAGGCTAAAAAGGCGTACCTAGAAACAGCAACAAAAGAAACCAGCAACTGTAATCTGGAAAGTGTAGAGGGCTGATGAATAAAAATTGTGGAGTCAGAAAATACTGAAATGGAGCTATTTCAGTAGAATGGGGTGGAAAGGCTGAGGGGGATGGTTAAGAGTGACAGTGACAGGGTGCAGAGGCAATGCAGAGGAAATCCAGAGGCAGTGAGTCTAGCTGAATGTGATAGGAAATGGTGTTTCAGTGTTTTATAAATGGTTTGAGAACACATCAGGATCAAGACATTTCCTATGGCCCATTTCAGGGATCACTGTAGATTTATTTGCTGCTAAGGATTATAGTATCTTCCCTAACTTTTAAGGAAAGGGGAATGTCAGTCCAGGAATTTAGCATCTGTTTGAGTCAGAATATATAGGAAAGAATAGGAAACAGAAAACACCAACTCTCTGGCTTCCCAAATGTAGCTAGCCATGATGTATGCCTGTCATAGTTCATCTCTGGTTTACCTCTGGGCAACTCCAGAGCAGCTGCACATCTAGAAGCAGACCTCTCACTGATGGCGCGTTGCCTTCTCTAACAGAGGTGGTTTATTAATACAGCCTAAGGTTACTGATGCCCTTTTGAATATCCTGGTTTTGCCTGACCTAGTAGAGTACTGCTCATTTAACTGCAGCGTAATAATTTCAACGCCATTCTCAAAGAGTTTGGCGAAGATTTATTTAACATCGTTTTCTCTGTGAAAGACATTTAGAATAATACTGCAGCCTGACTATAACGAAAATTCAATATAATTTGTGTCACCATAGCAACTCATGAAAGAATTTTATGGACAATAGTTAGCTTGCATTTGTAACCCCTCTGAGAGAAAGATAAACATGTTTTTAAGAAGCTGTGACGTAGAAAGATTGTGGTTAAAGTGACACTTGTTAGTGGTGTAATGAAATAGAGTAGCCCAGGTATGTGGTTCTCATTACTCATTCATGCTGCCAACATGACCGTGGAGCCAGCAGGGGTTTGCCAAGTGGCCAGATTACATTCGGGAGAAGCATGACCACCAGAGTATTGCAAAATGGATACCCCTTTCTACTACTCCAAATGTGCTCGTGTACACCCTCAACATTCCTCCTGCCCACACATGATGTGATGGCCCACCAGCTTTTATTTTTGCCTCTCTTACATTCAGTTCATATGAAATTGTTTCCGGTCCCTCACATTGTAAGTGCTCAGACCCTTCCTTTCAGTTCCAATGGTTGTTATTCCATGCTCAGTTCATTCCTGCTTCAGATACATCACTTTCTTCTACCTAAACGCTGTTCTTGAGCCTATCCAAAATGTTCCTGCTGAGATTACCCATTACTTTGCGTTCCTCCCACAGCACCTGCTTTTCTTCTAGGCCCTCACATCTGGTTAAGAGCTCTTGTCCCTGCAGACAAAGCCAGCTTCCTCAAGTACATAGTCGAAGATTAGGGACGTCA